AAAGAGTGGAAGAGGGTGGGCGGAGGGGGGAAGAAGTGGCAGAGTAAGAATGAAGAATTAGGCATACGAGAAAGAAAAACGTCCAAATAGGTGTATCGAGAATCACATCATGCATAAAATCAGGGCTTAGTGCATAGTCGAATAACAGTTTTCGTGAGTGGCGAGTCATGTTAGCTACAGCACGTAAGTTATTAAGTACCTGATAAAACAATAAACACGAAGGATAAAACTGCTGCTCAAGGGCATACATGTTCAATTTCCTTTTAATGGGAACTTGCTAGAGATTAAAATTAATTTAACTACCACATCCCAGATGGGTGTCTGGTTAAAAGTAATGAAACCTCTTGTTGTAACTTTTCCAGTGTCTAGATTACCTTTGTTCAGATTGTGGTCCACGAGCCCTAAACGGTAGTAACCTATCTAATTGAGTAGGCTAAGCAACTAGGGCAGAGTGAAGATGTTATTCGCAGTCAGGCGCCCCATTTTGTCACGAAGGCAAGTCTACTGGTATAGGTGGATTAAAAAAGGTTACAGTAAGCTTTTGTACGTCATCGTTAGTTGATTCTTCAAGTGGTTTCATTATAGATTGTTCTCAAAGGACGAAGATGATCATCACAATGGTTGGACAAATCTCCTCCCATTTTCAGTTTAACAAAAATATAAATATACAACATCACGATGATGTGTTACCTTGATTAACAGTGCCTACGCAAATCGTCGGTCTCTGTGTTGGGTTAAATACCTTATCGCAGTAGGTTTAGGAGCGTAGGTTTACAAACACAGCCACAAATATAGCGTGAACTTATGCTAGGAGCACCAGTGCTCATCTTTTATCTGCAATGCTTTGCCCATTTTTAGAGGGAGATAAGGAAGCTTACCAGCCAGCGTAACTACTAGGGAAGCCTGAATTCTGTTTGCCGGCGCTGATGTTTAAAAGGATTCTGTGCAGAGAAACAGCCTTGCTGATACAATGACAGTTTCGTGGACTGCATAAACAACGCACGCTTTTTTCGCATGCTTAGAGACTATGCTCATGAAAGGGCGTTTTTAATTCTTTC